TATAATATATAGCACCTCAAATCAAGTATTACCATTCACCAATCCAATACATACAACACCTCAAAATTCTTCCCCCATCTCGCCGTACCTGTTGATATCCTCCGTACGTTCATAGCCCACACCCTTGAGAATGGCCCACACCACTTCGGTGTCACTGACGTTCATTTGACACCCATAGGTTTCAAAGAACACCTTACGCGCATCACCCTGCAATACTTCGGTGGGAAGGTAATCCTTTGCGGGAATCAGCGCATCTGTGTACAGAGCAGTGGTTGTTCGATTGGATTAGTGCGTTCGCCGCCAGGGGTATGGTAGGTATGAGGGAAGCTGATCCAAGCTTAATACAGTGAAATGAGCGGCATCACTGGTATTAGTACATCTGTAGACATAAGCGTGTCATAAGCGTGTCACTGATAAGTCGTGCCATTTGTACCAAGTAGGCCCAAACGGAATGGTCTATACTAGTTTCGGCTGGTTTCCTCGTGGAAAGAGCTCGTGACAACACAACATCGGTAGGCTTGGCACTCCTTGAACTTAGCAATCAGTACATATGGCAACAAAAAATATGTCCGATATCCAATCGTAATTTTGCTGGAGATGAAGGAGGTGAAGTTTGATCTATATATCTAAAGAAACGAAATTATGTATCTATGCACATACACATACACACACATACATATATATATATATATATATATGAACTTACACACACATATATATACATAACTAACTTTTTTTCACACATATGTGCCTTATTTAACGAAAACTGACACGAGAGAGACTGCAGATTAAAAACAACAACGGTGCAACTGTGTGTACTCTTATATAAACGCACGTGTGCATATGCGATCTATTCCATAAACCCTCTGCATTCAACGCTAGCTTTCCATACACGCCGTTATCGGCCAGAATACTAATCGTACGCATATACCACACCCAGACACAAATACTCTACATTTGCGACTCCGTACCTTCGACTACATGCAAAATAACATTACACAGGTAACATACCGTTCGACAGCTCATCGGCTTTGATACTATTAACACTCAAAAACTCTTTGAATGACGGTGCGTTGTGTAGCAGCTTCTTACGCACAGTGAGATCATCCACTGTAGTAGGCTTGATGTGCACCTCTACGTTTTCCACATTGGCATCAGTTGTGTATCTACGCCTCGATTTGTCCATGCTGGTATGAGCAAATGTAGTAGTCGCTGCAAGTGCATGTATATGTCTGTAACTAGGTTTATATCTACACATAGCCGCGTCTATACAGGAACGTGTAACTGGGATAGTAGCAATGTGTGTATGTACATATCCGCTACTGATTGTATGCACATTTGGAGAAGAAAGGGCTGCAGAAACCTTCAAGTGGTTTCCTTGGGAGATGCATCCTCGCGATAGCGAGAATATACTACGCATCGACATGGTTAGAACGAGTTCACCTGGAGACCATACCCGACAATGTATAGAAGATCATTCGCTCTTCAACTTGTTACTATAAGTGTATGTCCATTACATATATATCTGCATGAATACATATGTATACATATCCATCCGTATGCATATATGTACACATATACTTACATGTGCTGGTTGACTACAAATTAAGTTAAAAAAATATGTGTTGCAAAAACCTTTTTTTTAAATAAAAAAACGACAAAAGGGACCTAATCCGTTTAAAAAGGGGTCCAACTCGAAACGTTTATTCGGCTCAATAGACCTTTTTCATCCACCTATTCAGTAAACTGAAGGGACATCCTATGAACCCATTTGAATTTTTTGCACCTCAGGCCTCTGAGCATGCACCCGTAGCTACAAGTAAAGGCCTATCACAGTATAAACGTTTACCACAAACAAATGGGGTTCAAACTCTAAAAGCTATCGTTTAAACGCATGGGTATGGTTGGTGATGTTATCGATTACAAATATAAAGACCATATGAGATAGTCCAGACGAATGATAATAGTAAAGTAAACAAACTACATATAAATACACAATATGATACGTATTTATATGGGTATTTATCAAAAAGTATATACTTACATACTGTATACATAACAATATATACGTGTGCATTTAATTTGTAGAAGAAGGTTATGGACTGACAAGTGTATATAGCAATTAAGATCTAATAGGGGGGATTCAGCCATAACATGTCGTTATTATAGCTCTCGCTCTAGTTGAGTATAAAATACAACATATGTTTGCTCCACTGGGCACAACTGAGATACAACGGGACTTGAATTGAATAAAAGGTAACTGTTAAAGGCATCATGGACGGGGAAAACTCACTACGGGACGAAATATTACAAAGGTTAGTATAGTCGAAATTATCATCTTGAGCGGTTTTGGTATTGTATTCACATTTACGTCGATAAGCATGACAGCGAACTCATCCACACACACACACATATATATATATATATATATATATATATATATATATATATATATATATATATATATATATATATATATATATTTATATTTATATATCTATATATATATGTAATATATATCTATATATATATATATATATATATATATATATATA